TTATCTATCAGCACAATAACACACTCAGCAAAATATCATCTAATTATCGTTAACAATAAAATCCCAGAAAATATTGAGATATATTTTTTGTCAATATCGCACACCCCTAATATATTTATAACGTTTTGTTTAGAAAAATAAATAAATAAATATGAGAAGTGCCCTTTTTTCCACTTGAACCCCTGCCCCTCAAAATGTCTGTGCACGTCCCTGACTGTTAGAACGTGTAACAGAAAGATACTAAAGCGGTACCTAAATGATACTCCACCCAAAAAATATACCCCATGCATTCTCAGGTCTATTTGACTTTCTTTCTTCTGTGAAACACAAATTGAGGCTTTAAAAAAAATACTCTATCTCTGTGAGTCCATTGACATTGACATTTTGACAGGGGACGCTGACAAATTAGTAGACTGGATTAGGGATAGATCCCACAATACCATTCATGAAGTGAACACATTCTGTTGGTAAAGATTTGATTAAGATACACAATATATATCCAGAGGAGCTTTGCTACTAAACTGCACAGTTAAAACGTATAGCCAAGGTTCAATTTCAGCATTCCTATCAATGAAACACATGGAAAAAACATCTGCTGTCTCCACATTTTTATTGGCTGAGAGCTACAACAACAGAATAACGAATACTGGTTGTTGTTGTTGTTGTTCTTAATTAATGTACCTTTCTTGTTGTTATCTTATAATAAACATCACCTCCCCCATGACATGCCCCATGTGTTATTAACAAAGGTAATCGGGTGAGAAATTATATTCTTCACCTCCACTGTTGTGTTTGACCGCTATCCAGTGACAGAAGACAGGAAGCACAGATTAAATGGGTCACAAATCAGCTAAAGAGTGAGAGGGCTGGAGGAAAAGTAATTGGACGGACAGAAGTGTGGCACTAATCAAAGCCATAAGGTTAAAGCAGTTAGCTAAGGGCATGTGAAGGAAGGGAAAGTCTGAACAAATGCTGCCAAAAAGTATTATAGATTCCTGGTAATGACAAAGTGACGTAGAAGACCACAGACAAAGACTCACAGAGAATGTTCATTGTTACTTCACACATCACTGACTACAAATTGTATTTCTGCCCATCAATGTCGTGAAAAAGATTCAGACAATGAAAAATCTAACAATCCTCATCCTTCATTGTCCTCAAAAACAGGTAGTCCTGCCCCTATAGACTCTCATTATTGGTTGAGCCAGAGCGTGTTATTGATCTTATCTGATCTTGTTATTGATCAAAACATGTTTTCATCTTATTGATAAGCAGTAATCCAGTAATGGTGATGGGCGTTCCGTTTCCAACATCCACTGTATGCAGTAGACCAGGGGTGTTCAAACTCAGTCCTGGAGGGCCGGTGTCCTGAAGAGTTTAGCTCCAACCCCAATTAAACACACCTGAACCAGCTAATCAAGCTCTTACTAGGCATACTAGAAACTTAAAGGCAGGTGTGTTGAGGCAAGTTGGAGCTAAACTCTGCAGGACACCGGCCCTCCAGGACCGAGTTTGGGCAGCCCTGCAGTAGACCAATCACAACAGATTGGGTCATCGGACCAATCAGAGCAGAGTAGCCTCACGCAAAGGGGTTTGGAAAGATGAACGATTCGTTTGAGAGTCGTTGAGAAATAGGCAGTGTTGGACAAGTTACTCTGAAAATGTAATCAAATTACTGATTACTGATTACTCCTTTTAAAAGTAATCACGTTACTGTTCTGATTACTTTATTTCAAAAGTAATTAGTAATTAGTTACATTAATAGTTACGTTACTTTTTTCTCCATGAAATTTATGAAATCCAAGCATACACGCTCCCGATAAATATTTGTTATTAAAGCATCAACATTCACAGAACACTGTTATTTTTAACTAAAGCAAGCGGCTGCTCCTTGCATGGTTTGGCATGGCAGAATGCCAGCAAAGAGCGCCGCATTTATAATCTCTAAAATACATCTCAGTTCATGGTAATCTCACAAATCTCTGTTATAATAACACAATAGATATATGCATAATGAATCTTTCATAATGTCTACAATTCGTGTGTTATAATGAGAGGATTCGTGAGCACGCAAATTTCAGCACTGCATTGCTCAACGCTGCAAACATGTGTTATAACCATAGACTGTATAAAAACATGGACGTAATGTCCGTGACGTCACCCGTAGATTTCCGAAGAGCGTTTTTGAAGCTCAAAAGTAGGCTGAGGCGGCAGTCGCCATCTTGGCAGCGAGTCACCGTGCGTCATTCCCGGATAATCGAAAATGGGCAAAGAGGCGGGAGCAGGTTGGTGAAGCCAGGCCCACCTAGCTCGACGGTGGTGACAGCAGCGGCAATCCACCTGTCACACATCCTTTTTAGGTCTCTAGATTATAAAACACTGCATTCTGTCAGCAATGTAACGCGGCAGTAACGTATAGAGAACTTGGCTTGTAACTATACTCTAATTACTATTTTGAAAATTATAACGCGTTAAATTACTCCGTTACTAAAAAAGTAATCAAATTACAGTAACGCGTTACTAAGTAATGCGTTACTGCCCAACACTGGAAATAAGGTACATTTAAATGCATATTATACGAAAATGAAAGTGTTTTTTGACCTTACATGCATGTAAACCTGTTGTTGATGACTCCCAAAACCAAATTATGAACCTTTCAAATAGCATAATAGGGCCACTTTAAAAGTTGATGTCTACATTAATATATAAAATGTTTGGTTTCATTTTGCACTTTTTCATCAAATAAAATTATATGCCATTTATGTCAGAGTAAAACTTACTAAGGTTAATGACTTTTGCCTAGTCAAAAATGTATGGTATGAACATTGATCACGACACCCTCAGATCCCATATTCAAAAGCGACACAAATGACAGAGAAGTTTGAAGAAAAATGTGTTAAATTAGAACAGACAAGAAGAGATTAGACCTTGGTAGAATAATCTTTTCAGCATTTAATTGCAAGATACATTTCAGATAAATAGCATAAACCTTTACATTCTCTCTGAGCAACACTGGATTAGAGAAGAAGGGGAATCTGATTGCAATCTTCTCGACGTCCCAGAAGACCTACACCTCCCAGCATGGCCGATACACTCTTCCCACCATGCACCTCATGGTGTCCCTTCTGATGATGGCGATGCTTGGGCTCAGGTCTGGTCCGACATCTCTGTGCTCTGTGCTGAGAAGGCTCTCGGGGAGACTGAGATGAGGGACTCCTCTGTTCAGAGATGTTAGGGTCCTCAGCAGATTGGAGTCGGCCACCACGATGATCCTGGAGTTGCCTGGTGCGGCTCTCAGAGCGTTCTCCTCCAAGCTGTCACTCAAACCTTGCAGATCTGGCTCCATGTCTTCAGCTTTGGTCATGGGGATGGCAGCGGTTCTGAAGTAGCACTCAGACAAAAGTGCAACAGAGATGAGGACAGTACCAATGGAAAGCTTCATTCTTGATCCCGAGTGTTTCTTCAGTGGTTCAGCTACTATCTCCTGTGTTGTCTTGCAAGCTGATCTGATGATGGTGGTGACTTGGTCCATTTTTATAGGCCACAGTCTGCAATGTGCCACGTTCTCCTTAGATTCATCATTGTCTTGGTTTCTCATGAGTATGTGGCTATTAACAAAAACACAAAATCTCATTGAGAACCTGATGAGACCACTGACAGAGTTCAAGCATTTTGTTTGGTGGAAAGTTGATTAAGATTTCCTGCAACGTGGCTTGTGTTCAGCACGCAGACTGCAGGGTTCCACTGAGTGGGCATCCTAAGAGGGGATGTAATTCCAGAATCCTCACACTTTGAAACAATATGAGAGGATTACAGACCTGTTGAAGAGTCCAAGTTAATAATAACTATTTTCTCATTAGAATCACAAGACAAAGTCATCAATAGAGGCTCTAGCCCTAGTAGCCCAAAATAAAGATCAACACCCAGCAGGAGGTTGTATTATTTGATTTGGAGAAGTGCTGCTGATTCATGACAATGTTGCAGGTGTTTCAATTAGTATCAAGCATCATTTCAGTGCAGTCTGGATGGGGCACCAGCTGGTTAATGCTACTTGATATAGAAAACATCTATACATTCATCATACTCTGAATAAACTCACTGAAATGAACCACATTGACTGTAGTTGATTTTTTGTTTGTTTGTTTGTTTGTTTTTTATTGTATGACATCTAGAGTCCTTAAGTCCTAAAACCTCAGAATTTCTTGAAATGTGGAAATATATATATATATATATATATATATCTTACTGAGTCAGGATAATCATACAAGACTGTGTACTTAACAAATGAGTAAAAGATTAGCGATTTAAATTATCCCATGTGCCTTTATTTTGACTGAATATAAATGCAATATATTCAGTTAAATGCAGAATATTCAAATACATACAAAGAACAAAGTTTTTACCACCTACTAAACAAACATAACCACGGGGTTGGAATTTTTTTCTTTTGAAACTTTTCATTCTTGAGAGTAATGTTAATTGTCCTAGTTCAACCTGTTTACATCACAACCTAACAAGTACTTTTTAAATAAACCGAAATCCAAAATCAAAAACAAATATCAAAAAGCATTTTTGTTGTATGGAAAAAGAGCAGTTTTATATTTTGATAACTCTTTTCTTGTTCCATAAAAAAGTCACATGTGTTTACAGAGACTTTTACAGAGAATTTGTGATTTCTGCTACAGCGTTTTAGATGTGAATTGCGAAAATATTTTTAAAAAACTTTTTTGAAAGTTGCATTTTAAATTCCCCTATACTCAAAAATACGCACATGCAATCTGTCAGAATTTAATCTTCCATGTCTATGTTAATGTACCCAGTCTTTCCTTCTTCTATCTTCTGATTTTGGATCTACCTCCAAAACCCAATGAATTTTTAAGACTTCTATTTAAATTCCTCATTTAAAAACACAATAGTCTCAGAATTGTTCTCAATAGGATAATCACTTTATATGTCAGTTGAATTCCACTTTGGTCTTAAATAAGACAGTAGACCCTCTTCCAGCCGTTTGACTGGCTAAGTCATTTTCTATAATCAAAGGCCATGTCACATTGTACTGTGAAAGCAGAAATGTCCAAAATAATTGGAAGCAAGGCTGCTAATAGGACAACTAACAGAACAAGAGAATCTAAAGCATGAGATTATTCAGCTGTGCAAAGTCATGGGCTCATCTCGATGAGATGAAAGATTACAAAATAATAAATATACATTTTTAAGACAAATCTTTCGTATCAAGAACTACAGAAAAAAAACAATTAATATTACAGAACATCCTGTAGAGCAATATTAGCAATTATTAATGTATTTACCCCATGTACATTTCAAACATCTTTGCAGAGAACATCTAAATTTAACATTTAGTTGCAAATTAATTATTCTTCCCAATATACATTGCCCTCCCCAATAATGAAATGTATGAAGTATATGATTATTCATATCTCATACATAAACATAAAAAGTGAATTTAATATGAACCACTGTATATTTCCCTCCTCTGTAGTGTGTCCACAGTGTATCATTTGATTATCTACCAAACAATCATTTCCACTGAGGTGAGCTGTGAACTGTGAAACGATAATAAGGTTTGGAACCATGGGAATAGTAGCAGCTGGGATAAGAAAGACTGGTTTCAAACAAAAGACCAAAAATGGGAAAGCATTCTAGACTGTTTTAGTAATATGCAAACCAGCTCATCTGTTATGCATCCAGGAACAAGGTGGGTGAATTTTACTACTAGATGGTCTGTGGGCCCTAAATGTTCTTTCCTCTTGTTTTGGGGGATTTTGAACAAGGCTGGACTTCTTACCACCACATTTCCTCTCCCACAGGGTGTTTCTGTGCATGGCAATATGATGAAATGAACTTTCTCACTCAAAATAAATGGAGAAAAGATTCACAGCAGAGTTGATTGATTGTGCAGATGTGAGGAGAATGACTGAATGACTGGTTTGCTCTTTGTGGGATCATTTACAAAGATTCTGTTATGGCCTGACTGGTCAAAATGCATGAAACACATTATTCTCTTGAAAAAAAAACTTCTAAAAACACACTTTGCATACTTATGCACTTTTGTATGCACTTTTGTAGTATAAATACAGCACAATTAGTGTGATCACACTGAAAATTCCAACAAGAAAAAGTTAACTTTAAACACCTGGATGATGCACTAAATAAACATGGAATACTGAACACTTTGTGCAGCTTTAATTACATTGTGGAAAGAGAGGTGCTATCAGACTCTGATGCTGGATGATAATATAACTATCTTAAACTATAGTATGTAGTATAGTGCATAGTTTAAGCACATAGTGTATAGTGTGTCATTTGGGACACTACGGCCTTGTACCAAATCGCACCCTAAACCCTCGCGGTCTCACCCTCGAGTCCACACTTTCGTGACGTAATGCCGCTTTGACTGTCGGGTAGAAGTCTGCTTGCAGAAGTGCGCATCGAGGGTGCATAGTTGCCACAAAGGGGGCGCTTGCGAGCACCCTTCTGAAAGATAAAATGACGAATGGGACACCCTACTGTCTCGTGGACTTAACGGACATGAAGTGTGCCATTTGGGACAGGGCCTACTACTGTTTTTGCTACATATGTACATGATACCTTAAAGACCCATTTATATAAAGACTGATAACAATAAAGAAAACTATAATGATAACTATATTCACGTCCACACCAACGCACGATAACAATCTGTTTATTTTAAGCAAGTGCTGCGGGTTATGTCATCTGCGCTTTAAATGCTCAAGCTCTTTAAATGGATTCTGATTGGCTGTCAATGTTTTTATCATTCATCAGCTGGAAAAAAAAGTTGTCTGCTATCGTCTCACTAGACGGAGACTCAGAACTTGGTTGTATCTGTTAATGTCTCTCCATAGTGGGTCAGAGACTCAGAATGTGGTGTCTCTGTTAGATGTCTTCACGGGTCCAAAAATTTGTGCCCAAACCCAAAGAGACACGGAAATATTTTACCTGGAACTGACTTGGACCCATCTATTATTTAAAAGTTGAAACCGGACCTGTACAGAACCAAGAAATGTCATAAATGTACTACTCAGAACCAACCCGGACCCGTCTATTTTTTGAAAGCTTGACCCGGACCCGGCCAGGAGACACAGACTCTTTTTGACCTGAACGGCACAGATTGCACGGCTAATTGCTATTAAGTTAATTTAAAAGTTGTGAAAATTAAACTTTGTTTCTTACCTAATGAAACGTTTGTACCCCTCTCCCCTGTACCTGACCGTGTTGCATATAATCTGGTAAAAAAAAAAATAATAATAATAATATATATACTGTATATATATATATATATATATATACAT